ACGGACCAAAAGCAATGATACTTACAGAGAAATTCAAGGAACGAAAAACTCAGGTAGGCAGATCAACCGACGTCGTGACAGTGAGGAACTAGTTACAAATCTAAAATTCACCCTGAATGCCAAATAAATTGACGCTGATATTCTGCAATCAACGCGTCAACGATAGGTGTACCGTGAAGGAAACAGAGCAACTCCTAGCACGAATTTCATGTTCCGGCTTCTTTCGTTGTGTACCGTTCCTCACTCAACAGCACGTCCAAAGAAAAGTAGCGCGAAAGTTGCGCGGCTGTTCTAAACGCGTGAATGATTTTCATGAAATTTCTGTGGTCCCTGACGTTGTGTGCAGTGTTTTCGTTTCCAAATGGACCCTCGACAAATATATAGTTTCCATCATTAAAGCCTTTCGGTCGATCATAGAGGCAGCAATGCCTCACGGACACTATTTTAGTGTCAAAGTTAACTCGGTACGCGTAGTACTCGAAAAAGCCCCTCAACAGTTCACCAACAGTGTCTTTGTTCCAGCACGCGAATCCTCTGAGATCCGAAAGGTGATTCGAGTCGGTCAGATAGCTGACAGGTATATCAGCATTAAAGACGTCCGGGAAAAGGCGAAATAAATGCGGCAACACCGGAGGATGCACTCCGCACTGTAGATAATGAATTACCATAAGTGCCAATGAAAAACTGCCTAAAGTTCCTTCAAAAGCGCTATTTATACCGGCGCTGATAGCCCAGTGCTTGACAACCAGCATAATCATGGGAAAGCGCTCATCGACCTAAGCGAAGTCGGTAATCGGCTTTCATTCGACAATTCTTAACACAAGCACAGTTGCCGTTTGCATCATGGGCAAATATAGATCAACATTATTTACGCTTTAGACAAGAGCTTATAATAATGAAATTGGTCTACCTTATAAAGATACAAAGAATAAAGGAATAATATATCAGCTGAAATGAGCAATCACATAAAATGAAACTTTCTTCATTAAACGGCACAAAATGCCAAACTTCTAACCGCAGTCCCATGAGAGTTTCAGTAAACATCGTCGTTATCAGAAATCTCTGCTTAGTACTGAAGACTTTAGATTTACATGAGTTTTTAATCAACTAGAACCAGTACTTAAATCAAGTCAGCATCAACGTCAGAAGAAAATCATAATTACAATCCGTATAGCTTTGTATTACACCAGTCCAACTCAGCGCCGTTTTCCCTACTTTGATTTTCTGTATGTTTTATCTAGCCGAAAACAGGAAACAACGTTACAGGATATACATATATAATCAGTTCGTGCGCCTGAGTATGTTACATAACGCACGCCTCCTCCAAGATTAAACTTCATAGCGCATTGCACCATCCCTTGCTCTTAGCTGCTTAGGGGATGTTTAAGCAGGCCACGGGTCCCTTGTAGTTGAGCACTCAGAGTGCGAGATGTATCTCGCATAATTTTGTCCGATAGAGCGACCTCAGGCCCGTTCCAAACGATGTTTCAGAAGCTGGCACTTCTTATGCGGTACCGCATAAACAACATAAGCTGTTCGTATGTCCGAGTACGTAAAATAAGGAATGACTCCTTCAAGATCAGATTTAACGGTGTATTACACTGCCCTTTGTACCTAACTGCTCAGGGCAGCTGTTTGAGCAGGTCATGGCTGCATGGTGTTTG